AAGCTTCTTTACCCAACTCTGTGTACCAGTGGTGGCTCCGCTCTCTCTATACCATGCGATAGTTGAGGGCCATGTTAATGTACGGACAGGAGAATTCACCGTTCCTACTACAGGAGAAAAGATTCCCATAACACAAGCCTTTGCCAAGAATTACATCTCTGCAGATCCATCTTATGTCTCAACGAGTGGCATTACACTCTCTGAAGCCATTGCTCAAGGTTTTGTAGAGCCATTCTCAGGCCAGGCAGTAGACAGGAACTCTGGAAACAAGTATACGTTAGACGAGGCTCTTGAGAGGGGTTTGTTAGCATCACATGTAAGAGAGGTCGTTAATTCGGACACAGGCTGTAAAATGACTCTTGCTGAAGCTATTGATGAAGGTGTGATAGATGTGACAGCTGGACGATATGTAAACAACGTTACAGGACAGAAAATACAGTTTAATGAGGCAGTGCAACAACAGCTCATCTGTAGACCCTATACATTGAAAGACTGTAATGATCTTAAAATCTTGGATGCGAATGGGCACATTCAGGATCCTCAGATTAAGGATTATGTTCCCTTACTGGAAGCTGTAGGGAAGGGTATTGTAGATGTTGACCTAAAATCAGTGAAGGACACTGCTGCAAAGACTCTTTTAACACTTCCTGAGGCCTTGATGTTTTCTGTGATACTACCTGAGGGAAAATATCGTGACACTGAGAGTGGAGAAGTAATGAGTCTGATTGATGCTGTGAACAAGGGACTTATTACATCAGTATGTACTAAGACAATCTTTGATATAGATGGCATAAAAGATCCTGAAACAGGTGACTACATTAGCTTCAAGATGGCTTTGCTCAAAGATGTTATCAGTCCAAAAACAGGGTTATTCAAAGATCCAAGAACAGGTAAGACCATGACCTTAGAAGATGCTGTAGCAGCTAAGATGATCCAACCGCAAATACTTGAAACACTTAAGATGAATATAGGAATGGTTGATGAGGCAGGGAAAGAAATGAATGTAGTAGATGCAGTATTGTCAGGACGGCTTGATCCTAATAGTGGTGAGATTCTGCATCCCACAAGTGGAAAGGCTGTTGCACTTGAGGATGCAGTGAATACAGGTATAGTGACCCCTGAAGGAGCTGCTACACTGAAGGGTCTCTTGAGCGTAACAGTTACTACTGCCACAATAACCAAGACTATTAAGAGGTATGTGACAGTCAAAACCACTGGAGTTCTAACAACAGAATCTAGAATTACATTAAAAGAGGCCCGAAGCAAAGGTCTTGTTGATGAAGTCCAAGGCACATACCATGATCCTGAAACTGATAAGACTATTCCGCTAGATGAGGCTATTCAACAAGGTCTTGTAACTTTGTCTTCAGAATGGCCCACTACTCTACCTAGTGATGAATCTACTGCAGATTCCCTTAGTGGTTCATTATCGCCAACAAGGGAGGCTACAAAACGTCATCTGTCCCCTGGAAAGTCTCCAAGTCCAGTAAAGGCTGCTAGAACGGACTCGGAAAGAGAGGGTTCTTCATCACCTGAAAAAGTTGATAGAGACAAGTCAATAAGCTCTCGTAGTTCAGAGGGAACTGAGGCATCATTAGACAAGAGACCAGACACACTTTTCCAAACTTCCTCTTCAAGAGAAGGTTCTCCCACAAAGTCAGGACCAGATTCACCTTCTAAGTCTTTCAGTTCAAGACAGGGCTCGCCTTATTCTGATTCTAGGGAATCCCCAACTAAATCTTTTGGCTCTAGGCCAGATTCTCCAATGAAATCCAGTGGTATAGGTCCAGAATCTCCATTAAAAACTGATGAATCTACTCCAACCTCTCCAGAAAAGGGAAGAACAGGTAGGGTAATTGTTTCCCCAGAGAGAATGCCACCAGGCACAAAAACATCTCTTAGGTCCCCAGCTGATTCTGTTGACAGTGCTATGGGCAATGTTGATGATTTAGATATGACATCATCAGGGGCATCACTTACAGGCACAACAACTGTATTAAATGAGAGTTACACTGCTAAAACCAGAACACTTGAATTGCCACCAGATGGATGGTACCTCAAGGAAGCTATCACTGAAAAGCTGTATGATCCAGTGATGGGTCTCTTTACCATCCCTGGTACAGATAGATTAGTGAGTTTTGAAGAGTGTGTCAAGATTGGAATAATTGATCCAAGATCAGCAGAGGTAGTTGACCCTAAGAATGGTCGAATTATTGCTTTAACCAGAGCTCTAGACAAGAAAATTCTTGATGCTACAGGAAAGTATCCAGATAGTGAGTCTTCTAACAGGAGGCTTACTATGCAAGAAGCTATTACAAAGAAATTTGTAATTCTCAAAGATCGCACAGATTCCCAAGAGTTTGTATCTGGACGTGTTATTCAGATCACAAGTGTGGAGGGACAGCCAGACAAAGTTCAGGTGTCGGGTGATGCTACAAACATATTTACAGAAATTAAGACTAATGAAGCAGTAGTTGATTCAGCCCCAGTCGAAATCAAACCTGGTATGATGTTTGATCCTACACAGGGCAGTGTTCAGCTTGATGATGGGTCTGTTGTTGATGTTGTGACAGCTGTGAAGGAAGGCAAGATTCAGCCAACTGGAGTTAAAGTAAAGGATCCATATTCTGGACGAGATCTCAATATCAGTGAGGCCATGAGGAAGGGAATCATTGATAAAGAGTCTGGTGAATATAAAGATAAGACTGGTCGCAAGATTTCCCTTACAGATGCTGCAAAATATGGTGTCTTAGGAGTTGCTGCTGTTTTAGGTGCCCCTGTAATTGCTGGCGTTGCAGCTGCACAGGCTATCAAGAAGGGTATTAAAAAAGTGAAAAAGATTGATCCCAAAACAGGCACAGAAATCATTATTGAAGAGAGTGTTGAAGTCATTACAGATTCTCAGAGCGAAGAGGAAACTTCAGAGACTGTTGTTGGTAAAAGGAAGGAATCAACAATTAAGTCCACAACAGTTGTAGAGACGGATATTGTTCTTCAAGATCCTGTAACTGGCCGGGAGATGACCCCAGAGGAAGCCTTTGCAGAGGGACTAATTTCTCCAGAAGAACTGGAGGAAATTAAGAGTTCTGCTCAAGAAAGAATTGTTGAGGTACAAGATGAAAAGGTATCAGAAGAGGACATGATCACAATTCCGCATGAAAAGGAATATCAAATTCTAGGACCTGAGGACACCAGTAAAGACAAAGAAACAGTTTTGCTGGCAGGGTCACCAGTGAAGACCCCTTCACCCATGAAAGCAGGGTCACCTGAGAAGCCAGGATCACCCGTGAGAGCAGGATCTCCTGAGAAGGCACTTTCACCTGTAAGAACAGGATCACCCGAGAAGGCAGGATCACCTGAAGAGGCACCTTCATCTGTGGGAGCAGGATCACCTGAGAAGGCAAGATCACCTGAGAAAGCTCCTTCACCTGCGAGAGTAGGATCACCTGAGAAGGCTCCTTCACCTGCGAGAGCAGGATCGCCTGAGAAAGCTCCTTCACCTGCGAGAGCAGGATCGCCTGAGAAGGCTCCTTCACCTGCGAGAGCAGGATCACCTGAGAAGGCTCCTTCACCTGTAAGGGCAGAAACACCTGAGAAGACACCTTCGCCTACAAAGACAGGGTCACCAACAAGGACAGAGCCAACTGAAAAGGCAGGGACACCAGAGAAATTACCTTCACCTATTAAAGCCGAATCGCCTGAAAGGGCAGGTTCTCCAGAGAAGATTTCATCTGTAAAATCAGGCTCACCTGAAGAGGCAATCTCACCTGTTAAAAGTAGTTCACCTTCAAAAACATCCCCTGTAAGTAGTTCCCCAGAGAAATCTGCATCGCCGGAGATGGAAGATGTTATACGGAAAACTAAGGAACCTGAAGAATCTAGTTCACTAAGTAAGGAAAAGGCAGGTTCACCTGAAAAGGATTTAGCAGAAGGCTTGTCTCCAGAGGAAGTTAATGGGAAACATGAAGCTGAAGGTGATCTTGCAGACTCGAAAGACCCCACCAGACAAGAAACCTCCAGTCCTGATGATTTTAGTGACAGGAAAATGTCTCTTGGTGAGAAGACTAGAGAACGTGTTACAACTGAACCCAAATTCAGTGTTGCTATAGGACGAGCAAAGTCTTTACCAAGCCCTGACCATGAAGGAAAACCTGTCAGACTTCAAAAGGTACGCAGGAAGACTATGAAACCCAAACAAGCAGCATCAAAGGGTGTTGTTGATGAAAACACTGCTGCCATTCTTGAAGATCCTAATACATTCCGCGGACCAGATGGTGAATTAATAACCCTGGAAGAAGCCCTCAAGCTGAAGAAAATTGATGGAGACACAGGAGCTGTGCTTGATATTGCACGAGGAGAGCCTTTAACAATTACAGAGGCTGTAGAAAGAGGTGTTCTTGACAGGAACACTGGTAATGTGTTGATTCCTGTTGGGCGCAGTGTTACTCTCCCAGAAGTTGTAACACAAGGTCTCCTTGACAAAGATTCTCAAAAATTCATTCACCCTGAGACTGGTACCAGTTTAACACTTAGTGAGGCAGTTCTCTGTGATATCATTGACCCAGTTTCACAGGTTATTGAGCCAAATACACAAGAAATCATCACCTTGGAGGAAGCTATGAAAAAAGGTATTATTGACCCAACCAGTGGTCAAGTAACTGTTTCCAAAGGACCTGTGTCCATTTTAGAGGCAGTTGATATGGATAATGTATTTGTTACACCGACTGTTGCTAGGGTAGATTGGCTTCCACCTGTGGGAATGACCTTCCCTGTTGCTTTGCAACGAGGCCTAGTTGATGCTGACAATAAAGAAATAATTAATCCTGTAACAACAGACCGTCAGCCACTAAAAACAGCCATTGAAAATGACTTTATTATGGCATTGCCATGCCCTATTCTGCCAGAGAGTGTTCAAGTAACTCAGGCCCTTGACTGTAAACTAATTGATACAGAATCCTGCACATTCACTATACCAAACACCGGACAAGAGGTCCCTGTTGAAAATGCTGTTGAAAGTGGTTTGCTTCAAATCAAGCCTATGACAACTGTTTTGTCACCAGAAGAAACCATTATCAGCCAAGAAGTAATAAGAGAAACAGTAAGGACTTATGAAACTATTACCACCACAACAGTAAAAGTTGAAACTGGATATATCCTTATCAGCCCTACAGAAGTGAAAAATGAAAAAACTGGTGAGATACTGTCTATAGAAGAGGCAAAGAAAAGAGGCATTGTTGAAGATCTTGGCACAGAGGAGTATGAGGAAAAACCAACATTTAGAGAGGCAGCAGAACAAGGACTGATTGACTTCGCTAAAGGAACCTTTGAAGACCCTAACACAGGTAATGTTATTCCAATTGATAAAGCCATTCAAAAAGGTCTTGTGGAGCCCATGGAACCAGCACCCTCTACTGAAGTTACCAGTAAAATCAACATTATGCAGGCCTTCTCAACAATATATCATGAGAAATCTGGGAAGTTTAAAGATCCCCAGTCAGGTACTCTGTTGACACTTGAGGAAGCAGTTGATAAAGGAGTAATTGATCCAGAAGCAATGGTCTATGACACAAAGAGTGGTCAGGCATTGTCAACTAAAGAGGCTGTAGATAAAGGTGTAATTGATGTGGAAGCTGGAGACTTCATTGATGCCAAAACAGGATCAAAGGTAAAAGTAAAGGATGCTGTGAAGATGGGTTTGCTTGCAGTTATCGGTGCTCCAGTTCTTGCTGGAATGGCTGTGAAAGAAGTTATTAAGGTGGCTCATGACAAAATAAAATCATCATCTGCAGAAAAGAAAACTATTGTGACTGAGATCATAGAAGAGTATGAACCAGTTAAGACGGCAGAGGACATGCTTAAGAGACCGTCCATGCAAACTGAGGATGACGTTTCTCTACCAGTGGTTGAAGTTGGTCAGAAAATGACCTTAAGAAATGCAATGGAGGGACGTTACATTGATGTAGATTTGTGTGTAGTTGTATCCCCATCCACAGGAAAGAGACAGCCTTTAAGGCGTGCCATAATTGAAGAGTTTGTTACTTTAGTTACTGTAATTGAAATTCGCAGTCGAACTGAGATCTGGATTGTTGAGGAAATCACAATTATAACAGAAGTTGTCAGGACTTTGGATCCGAAGGTAATGGCTGAGAAAGGTCAGTATGATCCTAGTAGTGGCAACTTTGTTGATCCAGATACTGGTAAAGAGATCTCATTCCAGGAAGCAATAGAAAATTCTGCCTTCAACCCAGTACTTACAGTAGTGAAAGATCCCACAACTGGAAAGGAAATACCACTTCAGGAAGCTCTTGATAAGGGCATTGTAAGTCCAACGACAGGAGAAGTGGTAGATCCTCAGACAGGGGAGTCCCTTTCATTCTTTGAAGCTGCCCAGAAAGGTCTCATTAAACCTGATGAGAAAAAGGAACTGACAGAAGAAAAACCCATAGCTGTTGCTTCTTTGGATGATGCCATTGGAAAGGGTCTCCTGAACCTAGACACAGGAATGTTTACTAATCCTGGAACTGGTGAATCAATGACAGTTAGTGAAGCATTGAAGAGTGGTCTTCTAGATCCTGCTACCGTCCATATATATGATCCAAGGAATGAGGATGTAACCTCCTTGAAGGAAGCAGTTGAAATGGGGCTAATTGACCTAGATTCAGCCAAATACACAGATCCAGAGACAGGTTGTGAGATGGATCTGACAACAGCCTTATCTAAAGGAATTTTGGTTCCTAAGAGAAAGGCAATGTCATTGGTGGCTGTGGTAAACAAAGGTCTTTATGACAAGAAGTCCGGCAAAATTAATGATACCATTACCAAACAAAAGCTTGATGTGGATGAGGCTGTAAAGAGAGGTATAGTGAATGCCTTCATCACCCTCTGCAAGGACACCAAAGCAGACAAATATATTACACTTGATGATGCTCTGCTGCTTGATCTAGTAGTAGCTCAAAATGGGAAGTTCAAAAATACAAAGAGCAACTTGTTCATACCTTTGGATGAAGCAGTGAAACAAAAATACATTGTGACTCACCGTACATCTGTTCCTCTTACTGATGCTGTTCTTGGTGAAATGTATGATCCCACAGAAGGTACATTCTATGATGCGTGTGAAGGTGATGAGTTGACACTGAATGACTCCATGGCTTGCAGATTAGTGGACACAAGTGTCTGTAGAGTTAAGATCGATGAGGAAACTTACACCATAAAAGATGCACTTGACAAGTCCATATTGGATGGCGATTCTGGCAAGTTGCTTCAGCCAGAGGAGATGAGCCTTGATGTAGCAGTGAAAAAAGGTTACTTGATAACTATTGTGGGTACATTCTCATTGCTCCAAATTATTGAGGATGGTCTCTATGATCCAGAAACAGGTCTGATCTCTGTAGATGGAGATCGCATTACCATTAAGGATGCAATTGAAAGAGATGTTGTTGATGCTTCATGTTTAACAATAAAAGACCCTCGGACTGGAGAGACAATAAGCTTGGAAGAAGCAATTAAATCGGGCTTGATTGATCCTGTTACTGGTACTTTTAGGGACCCTGTAACTGGTGCAGATGTGGAACTAACAGAAGCATTATCAAAGGGTGTAGTGGTAGAAGGTAAAACTACCTTTACTTTGTATCAGGCTGTAACCAAAGGCCTGTACAATCCAAGTACTGGTCGAGTTACAAGCCCAGTATCTCAAGATCAGCTGACTGTTCACAAGGCCATTCGCAGTGGCATTATTGACACTAGCACAACCCTAGCTAGAGATCCAAACACAGAGAAACTGATGAGTTTCAAACAGGCTACTGCAAACGAACTAGTTGATACCAGAACTGGCATGATAAACTTTGGTAGAATCAAAAAGATGAACTTCAAGGATGCATTTGAGCAGGATTATCTCATGGAAGCTCAGATGCCAATGGCTCTCAGAGTAGTGATCATGAAAGAACTCTATGACGAGGAGAGTGGCAGGTTCTTGAGTCCTTCTACTGGGGAGTGGATAACTCTGTCTGAAGCTCTAGCTGTACAGATGATTGATCCAGACTCAACACATGTGAAAGACACACTTTCTGGCCGCCTTAAGAAGGTTAATATTAGAGAAGCTATTGAATGTGATCTCATTGATGGTGAGACTGCTCTGGTCAAAAACCACCAGACAGGCACCCAACACACTATATTAGAAGCATATGAACTAGCTCTGATTGTTGACAGTCGTGTTGCCATGTCACTTCAACGTGCCTTGCATCAAGGGTTATTAGATGATGAACAGGGACTTCTTACAGATGTCAACACAGGTAAAAAGATAACCTTACATGAGGCAATGAGACGCCTTGTAATCAACCCAAGCCTTCCATGTTACTGGGACAGCAACTCTTCAACATGTCTTTCATTAGTACAGACCTGCAGAGAAGGTATTATTGACCGCCGGCTTGGCAAATTCAATGACCCGAAATCAGGATGCACTCTTACCTTAATGGATGCACTTGACCATGGAATGATCCTGGATATTGATAGACCTCAGAGTTTGTATGATGCTGTTACTATGGGTTTCTGTGATCCTAAAACTGGTAGAATGATACAACCTAATACAGGAAGGAAATTGACTTTAGCTGATGCCTGTAAGCAAAACATAATAGAACCATCTGTGTCAATCATTAGAGATGCTAGCAAACCTCGTTTCATGAAGCTGAATATTGCTGTAGGGGAAGGTCTTATTGATGATATTAAGGGGAGATATGTTATGCCTGAGTCAAGAGAAGAGCTCACACTTGAAGAAGCTGTAGAAAAGAAGCTCATAGTTACATCTAAACGACCTCTTACTGTGGAAGAAGCTTTGAGCTATTGCTTGTACACACCAGAAACAGGCCGTTTGACAGAGCCATGTGTAGGAGACAGACTGGACCTGGCTGAGGCCATTGATCATTCTCTTATTGATGGAAACACAACCGCCCTAAAGAATCCCGCAGATAGCACAATTAAAAGTATACGTGCTGCTGTTGAGGACCTGGATATCGACGTCTCTAAAGGCATGGTTACAGATCCCCAAACAAAGAAAGCTTATCCTCTCAATGTAGCCTTTGACAGGGGCCTTATTGTAACTGTAGGCAAGCCCAAAAGCTTTATGCAAGCTGTTCGTGAGGGATCCATAGATTTTGAAAAAGGTACCTACACAGATCCAGAAACAGGTATTGAATATACACTGGAAGAAGCTCTTCGGTTTGAATTAGTGGATCCAGATTCTGCAGTAATCAAAGATCCAAGGACAGGAAGATACAAAACTCTTAAGAGAGCCATCCAGGAAGGGCTTGTTGATCTGAAAAAGCGTGCCATGTTTGATCCACAGACTGGTACTCTAAAGACCTTATGCATAATCTTTGACCAAGGAACAATAGTGTTCCTTAGAGAGCCTTTATCATTTGATGAAGCTATCGACAAGGGCCACCTGAATACAGAGACAGGAATGTTTATTGATCCCAACTCCAAGGAAGTTCTAAATCTTCGGGAAACCTGCCGTCTTGGTCTGATTGACCCTAAGACTGTCCTCGTCAAGAATACTCGAAGCAGGCAACTTCTTCAGCTGCCTGAAGCTTGTGAAGTAGGTGCTGTTGATGCTGATAAGGGTATGGTTTATAATACGGCTACTAGTCACCTACTAACTGTCGCTGCTGCAATGGACTCGGGACTCATCATCACACCACGCCGTGGTTTAGCTCTCTTAGAGGCACTAGACTACGGTCTCTTTAATGAGAAGACTGGCCACTTGCTCAACCCTCATGAGAAAAAGCATATATCCCTACGAGAAGCAATATCTTGTGGGTTGATTGACAGCACAACAACCATGGTAAAGTGTCCCGCTAGTGGCAGCATCCATGGTATTACTGAGGCTGCACGTACTGGTTTGCTGGACGATCAGGGTGGTGCTGTGATTGACCCAACCTCAGGCACTCGCTACCCACTACCTGAGGCTCGTCGACAGGGCTACCTGCTCACCGCACAAGCGCGGGTAAGCTGCACAAATAGCTACGCTTGGGGAATGAATCTGCACTCACCGGCTACCATATCCTAATGCTCTTTTTTTATGTAGCAACCCTAGTACTACCATTGTACTGTATTTATTGCTACTGCTAATATATTGTTGGCTGCACAAGTACTTATTCAAGGCAATAGTGGCTTATAGTACTCATCCTATTGGTATCTGTATGAATGACCGCAGCCTAAAGTTAATACAATCTTATATATTATTTTTGCCTGAGGTTATATTTGGTTTTGTTTGGAACTAACCTAAATTTAATGTAAGTACTAAGCCTGCTAACTAAAACTGGTAAACGGTGACTAACCAGTACTTTTTACCTTGTTTTTTCCAGGTTTTATAGCTCTGAATTTTAAATTTTGGCTGAATATGTGGCTTATTTTTGTAGCGTTAAGGTAGCTTTTAAGGTTCTTATTTTGCTGCACATTTTGTTCTGTATTTTTTCTTTTCGGTTTTTTGTTTTGTTTTGATGTATTTTATGACTTTTTATTTTCTATGGCGCTACAGAGGTTTTCTATGTGCCTGCAGCTAAGTCGTTCTATGAGCAAAACGACTTTTCGTGCTGACTGTCATGGATCGTGGGCTTTTGTGACTGCCTGCCCTCCGTGGCTTATGTGACCTCCCAACCATGTGACCTACTGTCCCCCCTGCCCCTATGCCCTTTATCCTTCCCTCCTACACCTTCATTCTACACCTGCACACACCTACACCCTCTTATTCTATAGAGGCTTTACTAACGTTGTTTCTCTCTCTGTCTACATTATTATTGTGTTATTTTTTGCTATGTATTGTTTGCTGACCTTGTTGCATCCAAAGCATTTAAAGCATTGTATTTGTATCTTTGTGTTCACAAAGCACGTAGCGTGAAGCTGTTGTGTGTTGTTTTTTTTATGTTGGCGCAGTTGCAATAACCTCATGTTGTTCATGACTTTGTAATGCTTATGTCATCCTGGTGACCTATAGGGTGACCAGTGATGACCTCTAGTGTTTAGAGTTGTGGACAAGATGAGAACAAGCTACTGCGTCATGAACTCTCATTAACATGTTTGTTGTATGTGCTTTGCAGCAAGCAATGATCGAGAAGTACAAGCAGTGTGATGCTACAATAGTAGACATGATGGACCAAGTGAGTGAGATCGAACGGCGTTTGGCAGAGCAAGAGCCAGTTAGTGAGAATGCCAATGGTCTTCGGAACCAGATCAACACTGTTAAGGTGAGGATAGAGATCTTAATCACTGAATTGTGATAGTAAAATGAATTTTTGAGTCACACATCCTTCAAACAAGTCACATCCATTAGATTAAAACTGTTTTTTTTATACTATGCAGGCAATCAAAGATGAGTTGGATGAAATGTTCCGTCCTCTTGGAACATGCTTGGATGGAGTACGCCAGGTAGTGAACCAGGGTGGCGATGCTCTATCGCGTGAGGAACTGGAGTCTCTGGACATGGCTGCCACCAGGCTGAAGCAGCGCTATGACAAGTGTGTTGACCAGGCTGATACCACCCACCGCCGTCTTACCACTGCTATGGAGGAGTTCTCCAAGTATGAAAAGGAGATTGCTCTCTTCCAGACATGGCTGATGCAGGCAACTAAGACTTTGATTGAAAAAGAGCGCCTTTGCTCAGACCTCAACAAGATCAAGAACCATGAACAGGGATGTCGAGACTTCTTAGGTGACGTCATTGCCCACCAGGCTGACCTCCGCTTCATCACCATGGCCACCCAGAAGTTCTTGGATGAGTCCAGTGTGTACCTCCGTACAGTCAACAACTTCCGCACTTCACTTCCAGAGAGATACCCAGTTTTGCAAGCTGATCCCGACTCGGTGGTCCGCGATGCCGCTGATGACGTCACGGCCGAGTTTAAGGATCTGCTAGCCAGAGCCAACAAACTAGTTGATAAGGTCAGTTCAGAATATGTATGAGATAAAGGTATTGCCTTTTGCTAATATTGCATGTTTTGTTACAATGATTGATTAAATACATTCATTAGAAGTATCTTGTATTGTAACTTTGATTTATGCATTATAGAACAAGAATAACAGTCTTTATTTATTTTGTTTCAGGTTACAAGTGTCGGCAACAAACAGCGCGATTACACTGAATCCATTGAGAAGGCCATACGCTGGTTGAAGGACACCGATGTTAAGATTACCAGAATCCTTCAGGAACCGGTAGGGGCAGAGCCCAAGAGCGTCCAGGATCAGCTGGATAAGACAAAGGCCATTAACAACGACGTAGTTGCACAGTCTCGCCTCTTCGATAACTGTCGTGGAACGGCGGCGGCGCTGCTGCGTGCGCTGGAGGGGGAGCTCGACGCCAACGAGAGAGACGCCATCGAGCGCCCTCCTGAAGAACTCTACGAGAGGTACAATGAGTTGGCCGACCGCCTGGCACACCGCTGCCAGGAGCTGGACACCGCCCTTGTACAGTGCCAGGGCGTGCAGGAGGGTCTGGACTCGCTCATGGCCTGGCTCTCGAGCATCGACTTGCAGCTAAAGTAAGTACAGACAATTTTTTCTCTGTCCTTGTTTGGTCAGACATGTTTTCATATTTGTACTTGTATTGTGTTTTAAAGAAATATGTTCTGCACGGCTTCTATTAGATAAAGTTACCAGTTGTGAGAACTTTCCTCGTTAACTTTTGCAATCGGTGTTATTAATTAGTCGTTTAATAGGATAATAGATATTTTATTTCTTATTCCAAGCGTTAGTGGAAATAAATGATAATCTGATTGATGTAGAATCATGTTGTTTATGTAATTGTCGTATAAGATAGATAGAGTATGATATGGGGGTTTAAGAAAAGCTTTCGACTGTATTGGTTTCTTGTAGTTTTAATGGGTCAGCAAAGTTAGGAACAGCCTCCTTTTTATCAATAGCCATTCCCAGCCATTCCTCGTGAGGCTTTGCTCTTGAAGGAGGGGGCTATGTTGATTTCACGAAATGGTAAGAATACGAGCGAGTGCGTCCTAGGAAAAAAAAACTTTTTTTGCGGTTAAGGGCAGCATGATGTAGATTTTTTTATTACTATGTTTATCATTTTTTTATAAGTTCAAAGGAGGAAGGAGATTAGATTATTCAGAGTACGTGAGGAAAATGCGAGTTTTTTCATAAAGGTAGTTTTTACTAATATGTGTATAAGTGTGTGTAAGTGTGTGTGTGTGTAAGAGCGTGTAAGTGTGTGTAAGACGTGTGTAAGTGTGTAAGTGTGTGTAAGAGCGTGTAAGTGTGTGTAAGAGCGTGTAAGTGTGTGTAAAGAGCGTGTAAGTGTGTGTAGAGCGTGTAAGTGTGTGTGTGTGTAAGAGCGTGTAAGTGTGTGTGTGTGTAAGAGCGTGTAAGTGTGTGTGTGTGTAAGAGCGTGTAAGTGTGTGTGTGTAAGAGCGTGTAAGTGTGTGTGTGTAAGAGCGTGTAAGTGTGTGTGTGTAAGAGCGTGTAAGTGTGTGTGTGTAAGTGTGTAAGTGTGTGTGTAAGAGCGTGTAAGTGTGTGTGTGTAAGAGCGTGTAAGTGTGTGTGTGTAAGAGCGTGTAAGTGTGTGTGGTGTGTAAGAGCGTGTAAGTGTGTGTGTAAGTGTAAGAAGCGTGTAAGTGTGTGTGTGTAAGAGCGTGTAAGTGTGTGTGTGTAAGAGCGTGTAAGTGTGTGTTGTAAGAGCGTGTAAGTGTGTGTGTGTGTAAGAGCGTGTAAGTGTGTGTGTGTGTAAGAGCGTGTAAGTGTGTGTGTGTGTAAGAGCGTGTAAGTGTGTGTGTGTGTAAGAGCGTGTAAGTGTGTGTGTGTGTAAGAGCGTGTAAGTGTGTGTGTGTGTGTAAGTGCGTGTAAGTGTGTGTGTGTGTGTGTGTGTGTGTGTGTAAGAGCGTGTAAGTGTGTGTGTGTGTAAGTGTAAGTGTGTGTGTGTGTAAGAGCGTGTATGTGTGTGTATGTAAGTGTGTGTGTGTGTAAGAGCGTGTATAAGTGTGTGTAAGTGTGTGTGTAAGTGTGTGTGTGTGTGTGTGTGTGTGTGTGTGTGTGTAAGAGTGTTTGTGTAAGAGTGTGTGTGTGTGTGTGTGTAAGTGTGTGTGTAAGAGTGTGTAAGTGTGTGTGTGTGTAAGTGTGTGTAAGTGTATGTGTCTTTGTTTATTTTTGTTTAGTGATCTGTAGTAGCATCCGGTAGAAGCACTGGCTGTTCTCTCCACCTTAAACCATCTATAGTGCCTGCCAATCCACGCTAATGAGATGCTAATCTTAGTCACGTCGTGGCGATGAGTAACGAGTTCTGTTTACGGTCTCGGATCCGTCTCACACGACGTCCCTTGAACGAGTAACGAGGAGGGGGAGCAGGTACGGGAAGGGGAGGAAGGGGTAGGGGTAGGGGTAGGAAGAGGGGAGGATAGGACCCGGACAGGTCCCTTACTATGGTAGAAATTGGAAAGAGATAATTAGTTACCGAAATATCGCCAATCGGTGTTTCTCATAGGTGTACCTTCAGGGGAAACCTTTTTCATTCATAAAAATAAAAACATGAATGGCTATGAATGGAGAAGGCCGACAGGAGGTAAGGAATACGGAAACATTGCACGTGTGGGGAAATGCAATGCGGAAATGCAATGCGTGTGTGAGGGGTAGAGCAGGGTAGGGTATGGTAAAGGCATTCGAAAGAAATTATCGTTGAAAAGTGTAGCATGGGAGAGCCGATGGAGGTCTAAATGCCGTCTGTGAGTTCACACGGGCTGTGTAGGAGGACCTTAAGCATTTAAAGAAAAATGTTGTCTTAATGGTTAATATGGGGAAATAGAGGGAGGCCGACTAGAGTTTACTTAGGGTAAAGGAGATTAGATGATGGGAGGTCTTGCATGAACGCGGCTGTTAGTGAGCAGATGTCAGGACATGTTGGAATAAGGGCACGGTTCACTAGAAGAGGTTGGTGGGCGTTAGTGATAGCCAGATGGTTCAAAATGCGACGGGAATTGAGCGTATGTCGTGAATAACGTAGTCACAACGTTATTCGTTTCGCGCGCAGTCAGAATGGCGAGATAAGAGGTCGGATGATTAGTTAGTTGCAAGTGCACGGCGTTGGAGGCACAGAAATGCGTAAAGAGGTTGTTATCCCGGCGCCCCGAGAGAGCGGGCTCGGGGGCGGCGGGTTGTATCCAAGCGTCACATGTCCGGGTCTGTGGTAACTCCTGCTTGCGGGAAAGACTCGCCAGGCAGGTCGTGTTCCGCTCTTTACCACTTGATAAGGCACATGAGCGCGCCGGAGATATCATTGTCCGCGCTGATTTCGGCGTCCGGCGGATACAGATTGCTCAGTCAGGGGCGTTGCATTTGCTTGCGCCGAAAGAAAAAGCTCAGTGATGGAAAGCGGCTGACTTGCCTTGTTTGTCGAGGTCAGTTTAATTTACATACACAATGTGTACAGTATTTGGCGAAACTGGTTGAGGCATGACAGGGGAGGGAAGAGCTTCTTAATGTCAAAGTCCACGGCGCTGCCAACGTCATTTCCATTTATGTAAAATAGGAATTTGCAATCGAGATGCCGGTTAAGTTCAGTTCTGTATAGTAAACCACGGGATAGAACTTTCTTGCCTTCCAAAGAGCTCAGTTTAAGAGAAACGTGGCGCCCGCGACGTCGGCGGAAGACAGGTACGCGTGCTGGGAGAGGATGCGACTTCTCCTCCACGTGGGCGCCGGCGGTGGCACACGCAGATGGCCGCCTCGCCGGGTAATGCTGCATCGCGAAGCCTCGCGTGCATGTGACGGGGAACCTCGCACTAGGCGAGGTAATGGTCAGGGGACAAGAAACAATACAAGAAGCAGGGCCGTTAACACTTTGTCGCAATTTTTATGCGTGTTAACGTTGTCTTGTGAGTGTACGTGGGCGTTGTGTGCGCGTAGGTTTGTTGCCGAGATGCCTGAGCCGCCAAGCTGAGATCCACAATTTTCAAATTTTGCTTCCCACATGTTTACGTAGTTTATCGGGTGTGTCAGGAGGTAGTTGCACTTGGAATAGCTAAAGTAAACACTGCTAATCCTTCCGGATCAGCGTCAGAAATCTTACTTATTCGACTAGAGCGAAAAAATGGGAAATTTGATGCTCTGTAGGGATAGGAAGGTGTGTGGGAGGTGGCCGCTTAGTACCGAGTGGAGAGAAGTGGCGGCATCTCGCAGCCATGGCACGACCCACTCTGGTCTCTTCATCACCAGCCACTCAGTGTCGCGCGAACCTGCGGTGCGAGTGGACCGCGCTGGGCTTAACTCACAGCTGCCCGCCGCTGACACAAACCATGCGCTTATTTTATACGTGATTTTGAAAATTTCTTTTTGAAGTGTTATGTCTGTGAGTGTATTGTACCTTTGTTATCTATGAAAATTAAAGGATTATTAGTTAGTTTTACACAAAAGAAGAGATGTTTTTAAATAAATATGTTGTATGAAGATAGGATATGAGAAGTGAAGGAAAAAGGCGTTTGTTTTGTGATTGCACATAATTGTGATTTTATATTAATTTATTCTGCTACTTATTGGCCGTGGCACTTGGTTATCTCGAGTTGCCGAAGCGAAGGCATGCTCCCAGTACATTCCTGCTGTGTATCATAAACGTGTACCGGATCTCAAAACTATAAAAGTGGATGCGACTGGGCGATAGGCCGAGGGACGAGGCCGTAGCCTGAATGCGACGATAATGGAAGGTGGACCTGCGAGAGGGAGATGAGAAGTCGTCGAGGTGGCAGAGCCCGAGGACTGCCTCCGTTGTTTCTTCTCCACAAACACAATGATGAACGAGCGCGACTTTGACAAAAACAAGCGCGGAATGTCTTTGCTCGCGAAGATGTAGTGTTTGCAGTCGCTCTCGCGGCTGATTGACTGCTTCGGAAGTGTGACGGTGCCAAGTTGCAGCACGTGGGCGTCCGGCTACGGAACCGCCCACGCTGTCCTGGCACCTGGCGCAGGTGTTGCAACTGGCCCCTCGCTTTGGCACCTGAGTTGTGCACGAGTTGCAACAACACGTCGAAACTTGAATGGGTGCAGCTAATACTGCACTTAATGATTGAAATATTTCTCCGTGGAAAGTCCATAGGAAGTACCAACACCTAAGAGTGTAAATTGGGAGACAGGAAGCAGGAAGAAAGAGGCGTGTACATCCCCCTCGAGAGCACCTTACCGAAAATACCTCCCGTAGGGGCGCGCCAGGTCAAGCGAGGTCCCCTTTCTGCCACGTGCCCATTTCCGTGCCAGCCCTTCCTAGCCCACCACATGTGTTCCCTTACGTATCCGGGGGCCATATGCCCAGTCTATTGTTTCTACAACTCTTATGATAATTACTGGATGTGTTACATCGCAAGCATGTAGCTCGCTATTCTACGAAGGTGATATGACGACGCCTTGAAAGATAATCCGAGCGTGGAAATCTTGTAAACATAAACACCCAACTATGAAAGCAAAGTGTAGCTGAGTCTGGCCTGTGTTGTGGCGGGCAACAGTGTGTATTCGCGGGCCAGTGAAAGGAAAAGCAGTGATAATCTGTGAGCTTAAGCATAGTATGTGCGAGGACACGGCTGACACCGCACCTGCCTGGACCCGCACTGGGAAGGGAGGGCGACTGGGGGAGAGTGCTTCATGTAGATACTTTAGGGATACGAGACACTGGTAATGGGGCTTAGATCCACTGGCGCTGCCGCCGTTACCTTCTAGCCTGATAACATATCGTGTGTCAAGTAGAAAGCGATACAGCCCCAGCGACAATAGTGGCATGGATGGATTTTTGGCAGGTAGGATTGTTTGTTTGTGTGTAATTTATTCATACTGTGATAGCCTTTCATGATCTAAGTCATTGTTGCTTTAGTATTTATGGTCCATTGAACAATTTGCGATGCTTCAGTTCGATTCAGACAATCGCTTTTGCGAGATAAGCCAGTGAAGCAAGCGAAGGTTTTGATTGCACAGTTCCGACGCCGGTGTTTTATTACCGGGAAATTTAGGCCGATGGATGAACCGGACCGAGAAGACAATGAGGCTCCGTGGCCGTGAATGGCCAGCGATCGTGAGGCCGAGATAAAAGCAGAATGAATTAAGATTGATTGGGTGACGCCATCCAATCGAGATAGCGGTCGACAGCCCGAAGATTAAGGGATTGTGATCGGCAGGTGATTATGAGCTGTTATGAGAACGGCTCTCGTGAGGCCGGGAGGCGGTTTTGTTGAGGCGTCTCGTCCCGTCGCGGCCGCTGACTCGCCCTTTTGTCATTCACGTGACGCTAATGATGGATATTTTCAGGGGTGGCTGTCATTAGATTTTTTTTTTTTTTTTTTTTTTTTGTATTGTCAGTGTCACATTCAGGGGATGGGATGATGCTTACCATTGTTGGCAGTTGTAGAAGGTTGGCATTGTGTTTTTTTTTTTTCATTTTTGGGTACGATTCGGGCAGTGCAATTTGCTGTTTGGCCTTCGCAACTAAAAGAAATGGGAATGTAAGAAAGGTACACCCTTCGCATTTTCACTTGTCTGCTTCCTTCTGTGCCCACCGACGATGGGCAGGGCCCGTCCTTGTCGGTGGGCGTGGGGCGTCCTGGCACCCGTGTTATTCTATCCCCTTGGAGGCCTTCACTTTCTGACACGAACAATAATAATAACAGAAAAAGATTATCATATGAAGCCACGCCCTCTGGGGAGATTGTAGCTTTTGTGGAGGAAGTCAGGATGTTCGGGCGAGTAGGCGGGTAGGATTACGCTGTGTGTTTGTTGGTAACGTTTTGTTGTATGCTTTGTTGCGTAATTTCTGTTGTTAATGTTTTCTGTTTTTTCCCCCACCAGGAACGCCAGCAAGCCTGCATCTCTGAACCGCGATCGCCTGGACGAACAGGTGCGAGAACACCGCCAGCTCCACGCCGACATCATGTCGCACCAGGTAAGTGCCGCTCTGCGCTTGGACTCGAAACAGATGCACGCACACGGACTCGTATTCACACCCAAACTCTCACCCACACAGATCTCTCTCTCTCTCTCTCTCTCTCTCTCTCTTCTCTCTCTCTCTCTCTCTCTCTCTCTCTCTCTCTCTCTCTCTCTCTTCTCTCTCTCTCTCTCTCTGTCTCTCTCTCTCTCTCTCTCTCTTCTCTCTCTCTCTCTCTCTCTCTCTCTCTCTCTCTCTCTCTCTCTCTCTCTCTCTCTCTTCTCTCTCTCCTCTCTCTCTCTTCTCTCTCTCTCTCTCTCTCTCTCTCTCTCTCTCTCTCTCTCTCTCTCTCTCTCTCTCTCTCTCTCTCTCTCTCTCTCTCTCTCTCTCTCTCTCTCTCTCTCTCTCTTCTCTCTCTCTCTCTCTCTCTCTCGCACACACACACACACACACACACACACACACACACACACACACACACACACACACACACACACACACACACACACACACACACACACACACACACACACACACATATATATATATATATAATATCAGTCCACATACATATTAAAGCGTCGATTTTTTTTTTTTTTTTTGCAGGGTACATATACTACCCTTATACACTATTCGCACCACATCTGCCTTGATAATAGCGTATAGCAGGGACCAATCCCCCGATATGACCATACTTGGCCCTCTGTCGGCCGGTATTTGCATTGCATTGTGAGTCTTGGGTCCGCGTTAAGGGTGACCGCCGGCGGAAGATGATAGGGGATTAAGGTCATGAAATGGCGATTATTATTGTGCATCGCTAGGTACGGGAGGATGATCCGGACGAAGAGAAAAAAAAAAGGACAAACACGATGCGCAAGTACGACGGTTTTTTTATTCGTTTTTTTATTCGCTGTCTGAGCTGCTGTCACGGGTAACAAACAGGAAAGTGCGATTCGTCATATGGTCTCGTTTTCTGTCCATATATACGCAGATTGACGACGATTGGTGTCAACTCGTACTCGCACAATGTATGCTAGCGAGGTCACTGCAGATTTTTTTTATTTTAATGTATTGAAAGACTGGAGATTTGCAAACTCTCTCCCCCCCCCCTCTCTCTCTCTCTCTCTCTCTCTCTCTCCTCTCTCTCTCTCTCTCTCTCTCTCTCTCTCTCTCTCTCTCCTACTCTCTCTCTCTCTCTCTCTCTCTCTCTCTCTCTCTCTCCACACGACGCACAACTGCAGCACGCCACACGCACGACGCAACACACACACACAGCACATCACACACACCACCACACAGACACACACAAGCACACACACATCACTCACACTGCACACTCACACTCACATACACTCACACTCTCACACTCACATACTCACACTTCACACTCAACCACTCACACCAACACTCAGCAACACACAGCACCACCACAGCACACACACACACACACACGAACACACACCAACACCACACACAAACACACACACACACACACACAGCACACACACACACACACTCAACATCACAGCTCTTACACACACTCACATACACTCTTACACCCACAGTTTCACACACCCTCTTACACTCACACTCTTCACACACTCTTAACACTCACACTCTCACATGGCACTTTACATCTTACGCACAACTCTCAGCCACTCTGCGACATCTCTCTCACGTCCCTCGCTCTGCTCTCCCTCTCCTCTCTCTCCCCTCTCCCTCTCCCTCTCCTCTCCCTCTCCTCATCTCCTTTCTCGCTCATCGCTCTCGGCTCTCACGCTGCTCGCTCTCGCTCTCGCTCTCGCCTCTCGCTCTCACTCTCACTCTCACTCTCACTCCTCACTCTCACTCTCACTCTCACTCTCACTCTCATCTCTCCTCTTCTCTCTATCCTCTCTCTCGTCTCTCTCTCATCTCTATCTCTCTCTCTCCTCTCTCTCTCTCTCTCTCATCTCTCTCTTCTCTCTCTCTCTCCTCTCTCTCTCTCGTCTCCTCTCTTTCCCTCTCCCTCTCCTCTGTTGGTATGTATTGTATATATGTAATGATATGTATGTATGCATAAGTAAGTATAGATGTATGCTATATGTAATTATATGTATGTATGTATATGTAATGCATGTATGCATGCATGTATGCATGCATACATGCATCCATCCATGTATTCATTCATGCGTGCATAAAAGAGAGACTCTAGCCGTTCCTCCTTCCCGCTCATCTGCGGCTCCGCCTCAGACACGTGATCTATTCAATGCGAAGACTTCGATGATTTCTGAGAGTCTTGTGATTGATCCACTTGCCTTTTGTGTGTGACATGACAAGGCCGTGTGTGTGTGCTCGTCGGAGGGGACGTTCCATTTCGCCCGTCACGACCTCATTTGCATACCGGAAGTAGAGGTATGCGGGGTGGGCGGGAAAGGTCAGAGGTCGACGGCGTCGGCGGTAGTGGCTGCTTCCGTGCCCTTGGACGGCCGTGCCAACACTGCAGTGCCCATAGATGAAATTTAGGGATTTTTTAAAAACTCGGGCATGCAAATGTAATAACCTCATATGCGTTTACCATACTGGCCGCTTCCAATTATCTGCGCTCCCTTGCCAGGTACCGCCCTGTTTTCTCACTTGTACTCCATAACCTCGAATGTTCCCAGCGCCTTTACATCAGCCTATGCCGGCCGGTACAAAAAGGTGTTTCTGGTACCCATTTTTTTTCTCTGTCTCGACTTCGTAGCCTCTCTGCATTCGGATTCCTGTGCGCCTGGTGTAGTCTAATGAGCCTGCGTGTGTTATTTATGGCCCGGGCTTTTTCGATAACTTGTTTGGATCATAATTTTTGCGGCCTTCGGAAGATAGACTGTTTTCGTTTGAAAACATTTCGATTAAGATTGTAAGAGTGTAATCCGCATTCTTTTTTTTTTTATTTTTTTTTTTTTAAATCTTTGATAAAGAAATTTTTTTGTTAGTAATCTTTGCTAAAAAAATACATTTTGCAATCGGCATCGGAATATAGTTTTGATTTTGCAGTCAGCATTATGAGTCGAGTATAGGGCTTAGATGAAGGTTATTTTTTAGATTTATTTTTTCGTTTCGTTTTTTTTTTTATTTGCTTGTAAGTCGATATTTGCACTAGATCGGCGAAAACGTAAAAGCGAAAGATAGATTATGGGAATCGGAACATGAAAGGGTTTTGCCAATTAGGAAACTGTGCCAATCGGTTATGGCGCGCGCCCTCTTTCTCTCCCCCCCCCTTTTCAACCTATCCCTCCCCCCCCCCCTTCACTATATCCCTCCCACACCCATCCCTTAACCCTCCACCTCCCTCATCCTCCTCTCACACCCCCTTCGCCCCTCCCCTTCCTTCACACCTCCCTTCCCCTCCCTCCCTCCCCTCCCTCTCCCCTTCTCCCTCACGCCTCCCTTCTCTCCTTCCCCTCCCCTCACACCGCCCTTTTCATTTTCCCCTCCTCTCCCTCATACCTCCCTTTTCCCCTTCTCCCATTTCCCCCCCCCCCCTCCCCCTCCCCCCCCCCTCCACGCTCTCCCCGCCCGTGTTTTATAAGTGAAAACGTCCCAAAGGAGAGTCAGTCAGAATGGATCAGCGGGGGGCGGTAATTCGGTACCTTGCTGACCTTGGGGGCTGCCGGCTCTTGCTGGTCTGACGGATCCCTTATTACAGGCAGAAGCACATCCCGGTTGATGATCTAAATCTGAGGGATCAGCACTCCCCTGCCTGTGTCTTTGCCCCCCCACTCCTGTTACTCTCTCTCTCTCTCTCTCTCTCTTCTTCTCTTCTCTCTCTCTCTCTCTCTCTCTCTCTCTCTCTCTCTCTCCCTCTCTCGTCTCTCTCTCTCTCTCTCTCCATCTTTCTCTTCTTCTCCATTCTCTATTGGTCTTCTCTCTTACTCTCTGGCTCTCTCTGGCTCTCTCGGGCTCTCTCTCTCCGGCTCTGGCTCTCTCTGGCTCTCTCTCGAGATCTCTCTGAGCTAGGGGCGGAAAGAACTCTCGTCCCTCGCTCTCGTCTCTCTCTCTCTCTCACTTCTCTCTCTCTCTCTCTCTCTCTCTTCTCTCTCTCTCCTCCTCTCTCTTCTCTCTCTCTCCTCTTGTCGAACTGCGTGTCTCGTCTTGTCTTGGGATTCTTGCTCCGTTTTTTATGTAACTGTTTGCTTTTAAAATTAGGGCGAGCGAGCGGTATGTGTGCGGTCTTCGTTACTTGTTTCATCTCGGTTCGGTTTCGTTATTCCGCCTGATCTTCCGTTTCATTCCTGTTTGCCTTTCCACGTTTTACTTCCCCGTGGCGTGCGCGCGGATCTCCCGGACAGAGCCTTGCCTTCCCGCGAGGAGAGAGGGAACCGCAAGAGAAGACGTCGCGGCTTGTAATTTCGCCTGTGATCCCGGTGGTCGTGGGCATTAAGGGCTATTGTTGCCCTCTAAAACTCCCGGCGAATTTCCTTCGCTTTCAAATTTTCAATATTTTATGGCGCCGCGGCCGGAGAAGACAAAAGACGATCGCGATGCGGCCCGGAAATTATTTCGGCCCCTTATTAGTTTGCGTAAAATAGGATAAAGAGGGAGGAAAACGAGGAACATCGTGTGAGTTACGGGGGTGAACGCATCGAAGCGAGAAGGGCGTGCCTCGGGGTAGTGCCAATCACGGTAATGGCACCTGCCCGAAGATGCCAATCATGGTAATTGCAGCCGCCATAAGTCAGCGTGTATTATAGCACCTGAGGGTGCTGGTCAACACCTGTCCGGTGAACGCGGTTATGCGCACTCGCACACGGCTGTAAGTCCATCCACCGACACATGTAAACTTATCCTCACGTGCGGCTGACCCTCCCACTCCTCCCGCCGCCGCACCCTGCGCCTCCCCCAGACTGCACCGGCCCAAGATTGTACCTTGCCTGCGCCAAGGAGCACCATTTCCCAGTGTGTTTATTCAAATCACATTCCAGGCAGACAAGTAACTAACGCCACACACAAAAACACGTACACACGTACACACAGTTTCATTATGGGGAAAATATCTTTCTTACATGCATAATTATTTTATATGGATTTATATGACCTCTGAATGTACATATCTAATCATATATTTCTGAAAACGCATTTTAGCCTCGGTTAACCCTCGCATCCTCCCTCCTCCCGCAGGCGTCGGTGGTGCAGATCAACGACTCCGCGGAGGCGCTGCTCTCCTCCGCCTCCAACGCCCGCGTGGCCAAGAAGATCGAGACCAAGCTGAGGGAACTCAACACCAAGTGAGTACAGCCTTTCTTTCCCTTTTGTCCGGATGAAAGCGAGAGCGGTGGAAAAGGGTTCCAGGAGGCTTGCAGGTGCTCGGCAACAGGTGTTCTCTTGATTTTTATTTAGTTGTCATGAGCAGCTGGTCGTGTGGAAGGTATGGTGATCATGGTTATTTTTAGACGCCCTTTCTGATCCGTACGAAGAAGACACGTCGGCCTGAGTTGACGGAGGTCCACGCAGCCGCTACTGTTGACAGAGTGGCAGGGGCGCGGGCGAGGAATATTGCGCACCGCCCCTGCTGCACGCGGAGAAAATGTTGCAGCAGTAGACCCGGACTTGAGGTGGTTGGGGGAGAGGGAGGGGGTCCAGCTGTCAGACATCTATCAAATGCGGGCTCGTTAGTATGGAAATGATTAGAATGTGTATCAGCTTTAATTGGGTCGAGATTGGGGACTAGATACGAGAAGTTAGTGATGCATTAGGTTTTCATGAAGCGGCGATGTGAAGGCCCTGTCGCGGTGTCAAGGTAAAGTTGCAGGCCGACGCTCGCCTCCGAGATAGCGTTATCGGCGCCGTGTCCGCTTTCTTCCGAAACGATCCGGGGCTTTCCAAGGGGTGTTATCCTGTAAGCGAGACTGGTTGGACTTAGCGGGATTATTTTTTCCCCTTTTCTTTTTCTCACTTTCGCTGTGGAACTATTCCTTGTCAACTTTTCAGTCATGATATTGTCTCTTCGACGAGGAGGGAAGACACATAGCTGTTTTTACAAGAGCTCCTTCGAACTCGTTGGGCTTGTGAATGGGCTGTTCGGGTTGACAGGTTGAGGGCGTGATAGGGGCGGGGTTAGGTGTCAGGGGGAGAGGAAGGAACAGCTGGCTCGAACATCAGTTTGTGAAATAATACGGGATGTCGTTCACACCAGGGATGTGGGTAGGGTGTTGTTGCTTCTTTTTCCGTTGTGGGCGGCGATGGGCGCTGATGTCGAGAGACAGGACGTGGGCGCGAGTGTTGGGTGGGTGAGAGGACAGCAAACATGTAGCGGTGCATGTATGTACAGGCTAAGGCTCGAGCAGGGACAAGTTTTTTTTTCTTCTTCTCCTCTCTTTTTTTGTCTTTACTGGTTCTGCATATATGGAGGTGCTACCTTCAGGTCCCTCATACTTTACTCTAGTTTATTGTTGTCTTGCCTGCGCCCCATCTGTCTTCGCGTCCTCCCGCCTCCACGCCGCCAGCGCAGGTGGAAATGCCGCGACCTGTTTTCCCGTTCTTTTTGTACGACTTAGCGTTTTTACTGCTCTTTGAGATGATAATGCTAGGCATTGTGGGAAAGGAAGCCCGGATTAAGTGTACTTGTTTTTTTTCCTCCCGTTTTATTTTTTTGTATATGTTTGATAGTGAAGATCAAACAAGGATTTCCGACACTAAAAATCCCAGATTAAGGCGAAATAAGTGACGAATTTAAGGCGGTGGCCGTCATCCCGTGAATATGCCTCGTCACAGAGGAAGGTCACTGTTGTGGCATCATTTCCGCGTCTGATGATTTACGGGAGATGCTGGCCCCGGGTGGCATCCACATGCGTAGCGGGGAGAAGTGTGGGAGGTGGATGAGGGTGGAAGATGGCCGTCCAGGCGGTCTTGAGACAAAGGATGCTCGGAAGCGAAAATTTTCGTTTTCTTTTGTATTCGCCAGTCGTTTATTGGGTGAGACTTATTTAGGAAGATTTATTGGGAGTGTAAAGATGTTATTGGGTGGTTGGCATGAAGGAAGGAAGGTTGGGTGACAGACGCTGCTCGGTGCACCGCATGACGAATAGCAGGTGGCACAGACGCCTCCATATTGAATGCTTTGGTTCCAGGGGCACGTAAGGAACCCACTGAACTTCCAAAGAGTGAGCGTTATACCCCAAAAACCAGTTCTGTAGCGGAGCCATAAAACCCCTGGACGGTCACCGCCCTTCGCCCATTCTTCGCCTCTTTCTCTTTCTCTCGTGATCTGCCTCCTCCATGCAGTGCCTGACGCCGCCGAGGCATCAGCACGAGGCCGCGACGAAGAGGAGGGTGACGGCGTGGGCAGGGCGGCCTCGGGAAAGTTGCAGCGCCCTGCGGCCTCACGCGGTATGTCTCCGCGGGGCGTCAAGGAGAGATCGGGAGAAGGGGCAGGGTAGAGGGAGGCATAGGCAGGGTTGAGGGTGAGGCAAGGGTGTGGAAGGAATAGCGGCGGGGAATAAAAGTGAATGTGGCTCAAGCAGGAAAGTTGTGCAAGTGGCGGGTTCAGTCAGAGGGGGTTCGGTGGCGAAAGTTTGAATGACACACCGCATTTTAATTTTTTTTTAATGCTTGATAGCAATATCTCTAGGTGAAGAGTTGGTCGTGACAGGACCTTATACCATGTTATAAGGTGGCGTATATTGACAGATGGTTAGATGGGGTGGCATATCGTGTCTTGCAACAGTCGGAGGTCGTGTGGAGGACAGAAGTGAGTAGTTAGGATGACATTTATCTGAGGTGGGTGAGTGTTTCCCCAGGAATGTTGACATGAAGGATCCCGGCCCACTCGCCTCTTCTCGCCCACCTTCCACCCCCTACCCACCTGCCACTTTGCGCTGTAGGTTTGGGCATCCTCTCTTAATGATCAAATTCTAAGTTATATAATTAGCAGCGGTCTCTGCCAAAAACGTATGTAGTGCATATTTTTGCCCCAACAATTGAATATGTATCAGATGTGTACTCCCACGAAAGATTTCAAGAAAAGAAAAGCAAAGGGTGTATTTCCTGTTATCATAGCAGGAACGTGTGGTAATGAATCAGACGGGAGATCTCCGCTGCCCGTGTGATCCTTTCTGACCACAAAATACGTTCCTCTTTGGATTCCGAGTGGGCGGGGTCACGGACTTGCGGTAGGTAGGCTGGCAGGAAGACGGGTGTGGATGAGTTTGAGGGCGGGGCTGGAAACGAACTGGGAAGGACCTGGTCACCTGATAAGCCCTTTGCGTAGGACGCTTCGTGGGTGGGGGAGGGGGTGAAGGTCGGTAGGGGGTAGGGGGCAGGGAGAGATACGTTAGTGCCTCTTGGGTGTGTGAGTGTGGGCGGGCGGGAGTACAAGCGTGGGGAGAGAGGGGGAGGGGAGGGGAAGGGTTTCTAGGTGATATCGTCGATGGCGGGTGGGTGCAGCCGACACGCAGAGGAAGACTGGGCTATTTTCCGCCATGGCGTAGATCGGTGGGAGGAGGATTCTGGATCCTGCTGAGTTGGGTCGCCCCGCCTCGCCGCGACCTGGAAGTGGGCGTGGGGGCGGCCCAGGGGATGGGTGCAGTGGGCGAGTGGGCGAAGATGACGCCAGATTGAAGCTTTGAAAATATTACTAGAAGAGACGTAAAACCTCCTGTTATCGAGGAAAAATCACGGATGAATCCATCCAGAGAGAGTTAACGCGTGCCGCCGCCTCGTTTACAGGTGGTTGTTTGGGTTATCGAGGGGAGAGATTTGATAAGATAAGGACGGGAGCAGCGGTCGTTTAATGTGGAAGCAGAGGTTGGCGAAAGGGAGGCAGAATCAACAGACGAAGAGAAGAGAGAGAGAGAGAGAGAGAGAGAGAGAGAGGAGAGAGAGGAGAGAGAGGAGAGAGGAGGGAGAGAGAGGGGGGAGGGAGGGAGGAATGGGGAGGAGGAGGGATGACGGAAAGAGAGAGAGAAAAGTTGTTAGGGTCCACTGAGTTGATGCACGTTCCGTTGTGTGATTGATCATGTCGGGCGTGAATGGGATGTGCATAAAGTAGGGAGCAATAAAACCCGAATAAGGGAAAGGGTGACTCGGCTGAACTATCCAAACGCTTTTTATGGATTGTAAGAGAAATGGGGACTGCGAAGTCTCTCCTTTAGTCTCGTAAACAAAGGAAACCTTTCCTCTCTCAGCGAATGCCGATCGTGTAGGGGGTGTAACTTCGAACGGGGAGGGGGCGGGAGCGATCATAAAAGACAGTTGTGAAACTTGACCTCAGGTTGGTGATATCATTGGGCAAATTTAGTTCACGAGGTCACGGCTGCGGTAAATGTTGATATGCATGATGATGTGATTGGTGTACTTGTTCAAAGGTATATCGCTTTGCTGCATTCCGCGGCTTTACGAAAACTCACAGCAGATATATCTCGGGGCGATTTTGAAGGTGATTGCAGAAAGCGAGTCCCTCCCGAAATGCCCGAAATGTGGGAAAATATGGGGCCGTAAAACTCGCCTCGCACGACCTGGTGCAGAACTCAAAACATATTTGTGTTCCTGTAATTCCCCCGAACAACGCGACGATCCCCAAGACAGCTGTGATGGCGCCGGGGCTTCTCGTGAGGCTGGCGCAGGAATTTTAGGTGTTATGGTGAGCGGGGGATTCTGGCGAGCTATGCCAGGCGTCCGCGCTATTCCTCACCCCCGACCGTTCGGGAGTGCCACGTGGGGGCGCCTTTCCCGCTGACGGATGCCGACGGTGGAGTACCTCTCGGATTACTCGAATGTCCTTTTGCTTTGGCTGCGCGAAATGAGCGCGTGTTAATCAGGTCGACCAATTGATATTCAGGATGTGACTAGCATCTCTGGCGCGGATAGTAAGCAGAATGCATAATCCGGTGCGGCAAGGTTTCGCGTTTTTTTTCTCGTTTCTGGGAATTTTCTTTTTTTCTTTCACTCGCTTTGAGATTGTGTTGATACAGTATCCATTTTTGAGATTGTTCTTCATTTCGTGTTGCCTAACGAGGAAGTGATAACACTATCTAAGGTAAGAGCTTATCTCGAACCAAGTGGTGCTGAAGCCGCAGGTGTGGAACTCACGCTTGCGTCCGGATTATCGTTTTTAGTATTGTTATTTTTTAAGATAACGTAACTTGGCGCGAGGTATTTGAAATGGGTTATTTCCTGCGCGTTTTCTGCCGAACGGCTCACAACCTCGTCCTATTTGCAAAACAGTCACATCCGCCGACAGGAAGAAAAGCTGCCTCTTTTTGCATCTCGTCGGCAGAGAGTCTTGATG